TTTTAAAAAAAGTAAAATATATATTTATATTATCCATGAGAATTCATTTTGACATTTCATAGCGAAATTTATTGATTTTGTTTTTATTGTTATTACTTCGGATTACGATAAAGAAGCTTTTTTTTCATTAATGCTTTACTATTTATCTTTTCCAAATAAATAGATAGAAAAAAACTAGTTCGTCCAACATCCCAATTATAACTTTACTCGATTTTACTCATAAGAATAAATTCAGAGAAACTAGTGCAATATTAATTCACTAGTTTTTTTTCTTTAAAGATAAACAATAAATGATTTAAGTAAATACTTCTAATATATCAGCAATTCTATGTGATGAACATACACTTAGCATAAGACAATTTAACTTTCATATAGCCATACATATTGATTTTCATTGTGCAATACTTATCATTGATAATAAACTCTAATTATTAACTTGAGATGAATAACATACATTAATTAAAATACGAAAAACTGTATTTAGAAGTATTTGACGATATAATTGTCATGCTGATGTAGGAAATTCTAAAATCATTTTATTGATTAAACGATTCGATAAATCAATATGTACAATTAATTATGTTAATGTTTATGATTATTAAGTACGTGGATAGAATTCTGCAACGAGTTAAATAATAATATTATCTGATGATTATATTATTGATGAATTATTAATCATTGTTTGTTCATTATTTAATCAATTTCTATTTTGATTTGGTGGTTTTAATCATCTATAAATACGTGCATGTGTTTCATATAAATGACATATATTATTTTTAGGATATTGAACAATTACTAAAAGTCTTTCAAGACTAATTTATATAATTTTGTGTGTTAAATTATTATTTAATTGTTCTATAATAGAATTTATTAATTGATATTATTAATTGAATAGAAAAATTATTGAAATTTAGTTGTTAACTAATGAATATATAGTTAAATTAGAATTTTTAATGAAGATATTAAATAAAGACTGAAGAGAAAATAAATTCTATAAAAAAAAATATATTTATTTTTTAAAAGATGAATGCGATCAAAGGAAATGTTTATATTTTAATTTTCTGATTGATAGAAAATCTTTCTCATATTTTAGAGTTTATTAATAGAATAGAACAACTAATAAGAATATATTTGAATTTTTTAATGATCATTAAATTTTTTGTTTGAAGAAATTAATAATTTACTATTAAATTTTCCTTTGTCTTAAGTTAAACTTCTCAATAGACTTATGTTGAATATTCAATATTAAAGAAAAAAATCTAACTTCTAATTGTCAATTCTTAAAACATATATTAACTTCGATTAACTGTTAATGTTAATATTAATGTATTAATAATTTGAATTTCTATTAATATAGTATGATATAAAAGTTGTTTGTATGATAATAAATGAAATATATCTATATATTGGTCACTGATAAATAAAAACAAGAAGAAGAGATAAAATCTAATTTATTTTCGAATCTTGCTAACATTGTGTTATATTTGTTTCGAATATTTAATTCTTTAATTAAATTATTTGTTGTTTGTTTATTTTCATCATTAAATTTATTTATGGTAAATTAATTCAATGTGAAAAATGATATTTATATTTCTGGAAATTTTATTTTTGATAATTAACCAACTCAAAAATTGTTTTGATATAAATATAAATATAGAAGTTAAATCATGTCAATAAATATATTATATAATTATATATATTAGTTTTATTGTCGATTAATAAATATGATTAAGATAATTAAATAATAAAAGTAATTATTTATTTGATTGATTTAAATAATTTCATTGATAAACATATTCAAATATTGATAATAGGATTATCTATACTGTAAAAAAGTGATATTATTTTATCTGTTTATTGTTTTTGAAATATATTTAAATTAATTAAATCTTATATAAATATTATAAAACGTAATAATATATAAACTGTTAAAATTAACTATAGAAAATCGTAGAAAAACAAAAAACTTTAATTGCATAAATAAATAGTCTGATAAATATAATCGATACTTGAAATTGTTTTGAAAGTAAATATTATTGTCTATTCAATTGTTTAGATGTATGATTAATATATTTTTCATTTTTGTAACATTCAGAAAAACTTTTTAAACAAACAATAAATTTCAATAGAGGTTTTACTTTTTTTCCAATAAACATTTTACTCATTATAAGATCCATCTCTTTAATAAATAACGAGGTAATTGTTTGATTCATGGTAGTAATTCTTTCTTTTTCTTTTCTTAATAAAAAACCAACTTAATAGAACAAAATAATTTATTATATTAAAATAACCTTATTTTATAATAACTGCAGATAATATTCTCGATCAGCAATAGAGAAATAAACGATTGTTTAATTAGTCAAAATGACCACTGAAACATAATAAAATCAATAAAAATCTTTAAAAAAAAAAAAAGTAAAATATATATTATTTTATTTATGAGACTTCATTTTGAAGTTTCNNNNTCAATGACTGGATTTTTACTGTTTATAGGATTTTGTGGTCTACTGATAAATGTTATTCAATTATTTCAGTTTACATATTATCATCAACGCAAAATTCAGTCATTGACGAACTCAATAAATTTGAATCATTTTTAAATAAAATTACAAATTTATGCAGATATCATCGAATTTGTATTTGAATTTCAGGTGACCGATCACTTCGTCGCACGACACTTCGTCGCAATCACTTCGTCGCACGATCACTTCGTCGCACGACACTTCGTCGCGATCACTTCGTCGCAGAACAATTTTTTTTCGTTCTGTTCGTCGCAGAATAATTTCTTTCGTTCTGTTCGACGCACAACAATTTCTTTCGTTCTGTTCGTTGCGTTCCTCTCAATTAATTGTTTTTCATGACATGAAATTNATTTGGATTGGCATTTCATCGAAACATTAAAGCTTTAACAATAGATAAAGATTATTATTATCATACTTGGTGAACTTTTCTAACATTAAAAACCAATCAAACATCACTAACCTATAGAAAAAACACATTATAATCAGGATGACTACCTCTGCACGCCAGAAAAACGGATCAAAGTGGAAAAAAAGTAGCAAAACATGGAGAAAATGCGAAAAGATATTTTTGTGGACTCTTGAGGGTGTTGGAGCGTTTCTGGAACAAAAAAAGAAGACATCTACGTTCCAAATTCTCTCCTTCCACCAAATCCTCATATCAACTCTAACGACAAGAGATAAATTTTGCTGAATTAGAGTCATAACTCGATGAATGATTGAAATATGTTCATTACAGCATTGAGAGTGCGAGTATGGGTACAAGGGTTATGCTACTTCCACGCCCACAACTTCATCCACAACCGAATTTGAACCCCTAATCATATCTTCACACTCAGTTACTCATTTCAAAAAAAGTATTTTTCTCTATACAGCATAAATTTTCATTTTGGATATGGGTGTGGATGTGATTCTGTGTCCTCTTGCAGTCTTCACCTACATGCACACACATACACCATACTTATACCCACATCTACTTTCTAAGTTCTATAAATTTTCAATACATGTATCTACACATCATCTTCGTTGTTGTTAAATGAGTTGATGAAATAGACACCTTGAGAATGTTTTTCTTAAGCTAATATGTTGCTCGAGAATGGTATCTATGCTACCATGTGATATGTCTAATATAGCAGCAATTTAATCAATCCTTAGTCAAGAATCCCTTAACGAATCCCCAGGAATTCCCTGGGGACTTCTAAGGAAGTTCACTGGGAGTCCCTAGGAATTGTTCAGGGAGCATCTCTATAAGTGGCTCTGTAGTCCCTCATAAAGGACAATTTCTTAAGGGATATACTAGTCTTTACATGACATTTATCAGTGATATTCTCAATGAGCGACATACCTACCTACCTAACTACATAGGTCTGACCAAAAGTTCTGAGAACGCTATTGACAATTTTATAAACCAATCAACATTGAAAAGTTTTTTGTATGAATAAATAGTGGAATGTCTTATCTATATATATATATAAAGTAACTCTATTTTGGACTTAGTTACAATATTTTTTTCAGATAAACATTAATTCGAATAAAAATTTTTTTTTTAATGGATAATGAATTTGATCGATACTATATAAAAATTCAGACTATTTTGGGAATAGATCCAAAGAAAATTCACGAAGAACTTGCAACAGCTTTGGGACCCAATGCTCCATCATATCAAACAGTTACAAGGTGAGCAAAGCGTTTCCGTGAAGAAAGAGAAGATGTCAATAATGCATCTCAATCTGGTCGTCCGGTTTCCAAACTTACAGATGCAAATATTGAATTGGTACGACAGGTTATGAGCAATGACTCACATTCAAGTTATGATGATATTACAGCTGAGACTTCTCTTTCCCATGGCACAGCAGAACGAATTATCCACGGCTGTCTCAAGATGAAAAAAGTTACATCTCGTTGGGTATTCCATCAACTGAATAATGAACAAAAGCAACAACGAGTTAGACTTTGTCGTGCAAAATTTGGCGAAATTTGGTGACGATTTCTGGCGATTATGTGATAATATTACAGATGATGGGACATAGATTCACCATAGGCAAATTGGCCATAAGTCAACTAACGCAAGCTGGATTCGTGAAGGCGAGTCACCAACCACTATTGTTCATCGAAGTAAATTTGAACCAAAAACTTTATTTTCTATATTCTTTAAATCAAATGGTCCTGTTTTTAAACATACTGTTGATAAAGACAAGACTATAGATCACAACTATTATATAGAAAATTGCCTCAAACCTGTTGTCAAAGAAATACGAAAACAAAGAAAGTCATCAGATACAAAAGACATCAAATTGCTTTACGACAATGTTCGACCTCATACTCATTCAGATGTTATTAATTTTCAACAGAAGAGGGTATCAATGTAATGCGGCATCCACCGTTTTCACCTAACCTTGTACCATGTAATTATTGACTAAATGATTACATCAAGCGTAATTTAACTGATACAACATCAACATTATCTGCTACTTCATCGATTAAACCAGTTTCCTTGGTGTCAATCAGTGAGCCTATATCTTTTCTTTACTTTATCAATATAGTAATGATGATTATTTATGTCTTATTTAGAGGTAAATGATCAATATTGTAAGAGTTTAGCAAGAGGTTGTGCAGCACGAAGCAATATTCAAAATAATCGATCTTGGCCTATTGATTTAGCCTTCGACCTGATGTCAAGTATCGTCAACAACGCGCACGAAATAATCGTCATAATTATCTTTACCAAAATCGAGCAAGAATCACGAGGTCACCAATGAAAAAAGCAAGTAATAATATGTTAAGATAAAACCATAAAACTGCGCTTGAGTCATCGTGGTGAACGACAATTTTTTTCGATAATATTTGCGTATATTTTGTGGTAAAAATTAAAATTCGGTCATATTTTAAATTTACCCAGTGAAAACAAAAATATTAATTTTGTCCAAGCAAAATTGAAATTTTGATTTTGTCCAACATAATGTCAGTCACAATTAAAATTTTAACTTTCACTGGACAAAGTTAAAATTCTTTTTTTTAATGAAAAGTAAAAGGTAAAATTTTGATAACAAAGCCTATGGATGGGGGTGAGGATGCTTGGTTTTGAATGGTGTGGGTATGGGCGTAGATGGATATGAAAGTAGCAAGGTTCTAGGATTGTCATTTTCCTATTAACTTGAATAAATTTAAATCGTCGGTAATCAATTTTAGAATATATTATCTTTTTTTCATAGTTGAAATTTAAAAATAAATTTAAATTATCAGTATTGATATTTAAAATAAATTTAGCTTAAAACAATTTAAATTTATTTTTAAATTTAATCTATGAAAAAAACATTAAATTTATTTTAAATCTAAATTACCGATTATTTGATTTAATCATTAATTACATTGAAAGTAAATATAAACTGACACAACTACAAGGTCTCTATTGCAACCACACTCTTATTATATTTGTTGGTAATTTTTTTGAAATAAATAAGTTAGCACTGCTAAAACTATTTGTTTTTCTTTAGCTTTTTCTTTGCATTAAAACAAGAATTTCAATTTTGTCCAGTCAAAATTAAAATTTTAGTTTTGACTGGGCAAATTTTTAATTTGACTGTATTATAATTTTGACCACACCATGTACATCAATTATAAAGTGTTTTTTCTCTAGATCACTACCAACACAACAATTTTCGTAATGGTCATCGTTCAACATGTTGAAATTGCCATAACTGTTGTTTGATTTAATGCTAATATTTATAGGCATCACACACTAATGATTATTAAGAATGATAAAAATTACAATGTATTATGGTATTCAAAATATGATTATTTGGAATGATACTGCTGCTCGTATTTTAGATTGGATTGTTACGCGATATAATTTAAACGATAACTATCAGTTGTTTGTCACAACATTTAATATTATTTTTGATACTGGCCTGTAAAATTATATTAAAGAATTGATGAATCAATATTTTAGTGACATTGTCTACAAAGATCATATTTCATCGTGGTATTTCAGTTGTCTGTTTGCCGATACGAATCCACTATCATCTGTATTTACGAAAAAATAGTTTGGTTTGAGACGATATACAGGATACTGGAAATAGATTCAGAACAAACTAGTTAATGATTTATTCCAATATTATGTTGCACAATATGATATTCATTTTCCTGAAATTTCATTCTTTTTTGTTTATTATGATGTGTTGTAATTTCAATCAGTTTTAATTAATTTTTTAATGAGGTCCAGCATGCGTAGAATGCCTAATGATGAGAAGAAATAAATAATGAAATTCACTCTTTTATCTATATCACCACATAAAATTCTTTTATATATTTGTAGATAATGAATCTTCGCAAGCATAATTTTCCACCAAAATTTTGAATTAGACTTCATACATATACCAAAGATCCATTACCACCTTCTGCACCAAGAAAAACTCGACCATCAACAAAGAATAAAATTGATAAATGTCTTACATCAATCAGTCCTCATGTTCAGAAATTGATTTATACTGAAGCCATTGATAAACGAAAAGGTGCTATTCTGTCTGGTAAGCTACCATTGAATCCTGAGCAGTATACTCTGATGCAAAAACTTGGTGCAACATGAAAATACGAATCGGTATTATTACTTGAACAAGTACTTCAACTCACATACGATTTTCAATACAAAAGTTGTCTTCGAGCAATTGAAAATGTCCAATGTAGACTACAACAACAAAAGCCAATAATTGCTAGAAAAAATCCCATTCTCTTGTTGCGTATTCATTTTCAACGGAAGGCTTCTGTCTTTCGTCAATGACTTTTTAAGTTCATCATGTTTGTGTCTTTTTTATTATTATACGCATAGGATTATATCAGCATGATTTTTGTTCACTGCACGAAATAAATTTTTATTATCCTGAACATTTCCTATTGAATTTAGAGAAAAAAAAACTTTTTTGATGATTTTAAATGTGTTGTGCTGTTTTGATGTTATACAAATAACATAAGTATGTTTCAAATAAATAAATATGAATCATCCATGTTTCATTATGGATATTATTTCTATGACTAAAATCTATGATGATATTATTTTTCAATGATTACTTCATCAAATAATAAGTCGATTATATAAAGAATCGCATATAAGAGTGAAGAAAAGAAAGCACTTCGCATATAGCTGAGTGACTAATATAGCGTATTGAATGCGACACGAGTTCGAACACCGTGCGAAGCGAGTGAAGTTCTTTGCTTTCCTATTGAAATTTTAAAGGTAATTTTTGTTTGCTTGGATGCAGAGATACCTTGACGAGATTTCAATCGGAACCGAGGTAACTAAACATGTTGATTGCCAATGTGTAATTTTTGTCGTCCGGGAACTCCTCTTTCAAAACCACCCTAATTTGATATGTAAGGCGCTTCTCATGTCTAACTTCTATCTAAACTATACTTTAGATGGATGCATCGTCTTCTAAGACGCATGGCATTTTTTAGAGTGAAATATTTACGTATGTCGCCATCACAGAATAATCTTTTCTACCTCTGTACAATACATACTTTTCATTCATGTACGTTGACGTCGCTAGCTATCGTTTTTATCTTACTGTATTTTCGTTAACATATCTACATTCTCTCAGTCGTTTCTTTCGCTTCTCACCCCTCTATTATTTATTTATCTGATTTTTTTTTCGGTTTCTTTCTTTTATATTGTCAACCTCAATTATAGGGATAACAAAAATGAATGCAAAAAAATGGAATTTACAGTAGAAAATGAAAAAATGATTTTTTACCGTTCTGTCACTTTATACACGCCGAGCCAGTGCATGAAGAAAAGAAAGATATATTTGGGTGAGTACGTCGTACATATAAAATGACTGAACGGAAAAAAATGTTTTTTTTTCGTTCTTCACTGTAAATTGTATTTGAAAAGATGGCATGTGATCATGTTCAAGAAAAATAGTTATTGTGCAACTAAGCGTATCATTTTGTAGAGAATTACATTCTCTACAAGTCTGTATTATTCAATTTTTTTTAGTTTGATTTCGCTACCTAAAGACCAAGATTATCGGATGACCTATGGGAAATACTAATTTTAATTAGCAGTTAATGTCTTTTTTTAATGATTTTTAGGAATCAAGAACATGATTCGATTTAGTTTGATTTTCGCTATGAAATGATGTATTTTGAGTTGAGTTTGCGATTGATCGAATCCGAAAAACTTAAGCTCTCTAGAGAACCTAAAGGGCTTCAGATATTTTGAACTTTTCGAGGTTCAGTCAAGATTCTTTTTTTCGGTTTTAATACACATCAGCGCGTAGAGAACTATTTTCTCTATCGAATGATATACAATTGAAAATATTTTGATGAAGAATAAAGGTGCCATAAAAAGAAAATGACAGGTGTCCAAATAATTTTTTTCGCATAGGAAATCAAGCAGTTTATAAAAAACCTTTTCGAAAAATAATTTTTTCTCCTAAAATAAAGTAGAAACTTTGATCTATCGAATGGTACAATCAAAGTCAAGAAAATGTTTTCTTCTTTTTGAAATTTGCTTCACAAGATAAGTGTTACACGGTGTCCAAATAATTAGTTTACATACTGCGGTCTTAATAATCAACTAATAGCTGAATTTGCAGTTTTAGAGGGAAAGATGTCTTTCAAAGCTATAAGAAAGATGTATAAGTTTTTGCGCTCGATGACTGATAATAATAACGATCGAATAACTCCGACTAAATTTGAGTTATTTTCTTTAGTTTACTTCCAGTAATCTCTTCTTGTCTTACGAGAAGGGCTCAGCAAATCTGAAAGATAAGCGCTGCTTCTTTCTATTAATCGAAAGCTAAAGTAATTAAGTGCATTTTTGATTCATAATTTATTTTTAATCGTATAGAAAAAGAGCAAGAATAATTATTGAAAATTTTCTTCATGCAAATCACTCATTTATAAAAAAAAAACAGATTATGCATTAAACAATAACATCATTATATTTTCTACCATATTACCTATGATTTTCTCCTTCTGATTTGATGTAATACGATTTAATATAAGATAAAAATTTCGCACTACGTATGCATGGGCTAGCGAAAAAAAGTACTGACAGAAAAGAATAAAAAACGCCAACTTATGATTTGATATGGTTTGTTTGTTTTGCTTTTATTTTATAATTTCACGTGTATGTACTATATCAATCCAATATGAGCATAATTTATCTATAGTTAAAAATAGATTGAATATAAAATCAAGCAGCTGTACATAATTATTTAACACTGCAAGATAAGATATTCAAACAAAACAGGTAATACATGCTTTCATTTCAAATAATAAGAGTCAAAGCTTCAAAACTTGTGTTCTATGACAAACTTGAAAAGGTAATAATAATAATAGATTATCTATTTGGAATGATAGGGTGACATTTTTTTTAACCTTTATCAAGACATTTTCATCGATAATTTTATTTTTTGACAAGATAATTCGATGAATTTTATTTTTTATTGTTGTGTATTTTAATATGTTTACAAATAAATTCATAAACTCTATAATTGCATTGAATAGTTTTAAACAATGAAATCAACACTGAGAGTTAAAACTATGTTTTAAAAAAGTTGTTAGTTGAGAAAAACGGCAAAAAGTTAAAATGGTTATAACTCATGTTATAACTATCAACTATTTTAAGCTTATTGACTTTTTTGAATTTTTCAGTAGATTGAGCTAAGTTGAAATAGTAATTATTTTCATTTAATTGATATTTTTGATAGATTAAATTATAATACATATATTTCATTGTTCTTTACTTAAAAAACTTAGTATTTATAGATTATTTATTGTGAGCTTTTTCATGCATTCATTCGGAAGATACATTATCTTGTAGTTATCCGTCAGCTGAGAATGAAAAAATGCACTCATTAGTGTGCAAACATTTCGAATTTTTTCTATGTTCACGGCGACAAACTAGATGTGAAGATTACATTCCTTTTATTGAACATTTATGTACCAAGGATACGCAGTTTTGAATGAAAAGTATGACTTTGAAAGTTTCATAATAGAGTAACTTCGTCGAATGTTAGTATTGTTATGATTTTCAACCAAAGTTATGACTTTCAGCCATAGTTATAATCTTGGACCTTAATTAGAAATAATTGGGATATAGTCATTAAGTAATACAATTTTCAGCATTGCTCAAGACTTTTCATGAAAACAAACTTAGGATGAAAATCAGGTTAGAGGTCAAACACGCTATGCTAATTAAAACAGAATTAAGAAATGTGATTGGTGTTGTTACGTGGCAACATCAATCACGTTTCTTAATTCACGTAATGTGTGCAAGGCTTTACAACCGATCAAAAGCGTATGCTTGTAATCGATGTTTGATCCTCTTGTAACCATTATAATCAAAANATGCTAGCTTTCCCACTATAATTTTGATGTTCAGATATTCTAAGATGATTGATTTCAATTTTTGAAGTACACATAACTCTCGGATTTAAATCCGAAGTTGCCGCATTTATTTTAAATATAACGGGTGACCCATAATAAACAGCCGCACTTTCCGTTGCTTATTTTATTTTCAAAATACGTATTATTAAAAAACAAAATATACCACGAGGTGCAGCGTGAAAAGCTCTACAATTTACATTAGATCGCTTGTTTTATAGTTGCACTTTTTATTTTCAAAATGGGCAGCATTTGGAGCCTCCAAATTTCGACCGTGCGAAAATTGCTCATGTAGAATTTTCCCTTTTTTTGATAGCAATTACACTAAGCTTTGTTGTGTAAATTGTAGAGCGTTCCACGCTGCATCTTGTGCTATACTTAGTTTTTTTTATGAAGACATATTGTATGATAAAATGATAAAAGGAATTCTCGTTTGTGTAGAAAAAAATGGTTTTTTCACAATAGTGAAAATTGGTCCCAGAGAATTTTACTTTTTTTGAAAACAAAAAGTGCACAATTAAAATAAGCTTTACTCCCTAGACTGTAGAGCTTTTCATGCTGCATTCCATAGTATATTTTGTTTTTTCAGTAATACCTATTTTGAAATTAAAATATATAATGCAAAGTGTGGTCATTCATTATGGGCCATCCGTTATATTTAAAATAAATGCGGAAACTTCGGATTTAAATCCGAGAGTTATGTGTACTTCAAAAAGTGAAATCAATCATCTTAGAATATCTGAACATCAAAATTATAGTGGGAAAGCTAGCATTGCAAATGTTGATTTTCATTACGCAATGCCAAACCAATTGGACTTGAGATCGAACAGCTCAAGTTTGAACTCTTTCCATTGATTTACCCTAAAACAGTCATTTTTCCTATAACTTCATTTCTATTGGCCACTGTACAACCAATATTATTACGTTGGAAGTGCAGTACACATTCGAGTTCTTCATCTCTGCAGACCTCGAAACATCATCACTGTGATCGGAAGATAGAGCGCTATTTTTTTGGATCAATTAGATCGTGACCTAAAATATAGCCCAGTTCTCTTTAATTATTCTTGTGATAGGTGAGTCAATTTTCTTATATCTTTATGTTTTATATAACATTTTGTAGTTCTTGAAATTCTCTATCGAATGATATATAATAGCTGGGATTTTCATTGACTATGATAGGAAAAGTGTTTCACAAAA